GCACCAGACACGATCAATATCTAGCATTTCTTGGACAATTTACATGTGTCATGCATGACATATGCTAAGGGCATTACATACATTATCTTATATACCTCTCACCCCGACACCATGAAGTAGTTATTGAGATGGAGAGCAGCTAAGGACTAGCCCAGGTTCACCCTGCAAGGAAGCAGTAGGGTTAGGACTTGAACCCAGGCTCCCTTGTTCTAAAACTAGAGCGCCTACCTACCCAGTAGTTCTCAACCTTCCTAATGCCGTGACCCTTTAATACAGTTCCTCATGTCGTGGTGACCCCCAACCATACAATTATTTTCGTTGCTACTTCATAACTGTAATTTTGCTACTGTTCTGAATCGTAATGTAATTATATATGTGTTTTCCGATGGTCTTAGGCGACCCCTGTGAAAGGGTCGTTCGACCCCCAAAGAGGGCGTGACCCACAGGTTGAGAACCGCCTAGTACTAGGCCATCCCACCTGACACTTTCATTTTTAACTTTCAGCAAGGGAAGACTGCCTTGGCGGTGGCCTCCCAGAGCAACCACAGCCTTGTTGTGGACATGCTCATAAAAGCAGAAAGATACTATGCCTGGAGAGAGGCAAGGAAGGACGATATATTAAAAATGCATTTTTTGTGGTGACATTTCCTTAGCCAAGGCATCACCTCTGTTTTCTTTGGGGGTGGGGAAATAGTGGGTTGCGACAGAAGCAAGGGACACAACACTGTAACATCCCTCACATTTCCTGTGTCAGGCAGACAGTACTCACATTCTGAGAACAGCGCGGTAGAAATGAATCTGACAGTCTGAAAAGAAAACCCCAGGATAGACCTAGAGGGCTCTGGCCTGCAGGGAGGTGTTGCAGTGTCTGATGGACCTGCTGAGAACAGCTCCCTAGTAAGGGAGTAGTAGCAATAGTGCTCTCTTGTGGACATTCTGATAACAGCGCCCTATTAAGGGATTCGTTTTTTTGTCTCCATCTTGAATGACAAAAATGATCCAATGATAGATAACATTGAAAAGGTCGTCCTGGTTACCCCTTACCAGTTATATCTGAAAATAATTGCTCTGAAATAAGGCAATAAGCAGAAAATATCTAAAATCATTTGATACCATTACTTTCAATTTAGAAGCATGGTGAGAGCACCAGGGACGCACCAACCAACTCTCCTCTGACATTCAAGCAAGATCACAGCCAGGAGACCAGGCATATTGACCGTCTCCTCTGGAACCTGGCTTATCGTCGGCTGAAGGCCAGCGAGTGGCAGAGGCCGGCCCGAGCAAGGAACTTCACAGATGACCAGATCAGAGCCATCGAGGAGCAGTGGTCAGGTGAGCACCCCCAGGTGATGTGGGCAGAGGCATTCAGTGTCGGGAACAGCAGTCCTTCCTGTGGCAGATCTTCCAGGTAAGTGCCAGGGACACAGACTCAGGGCTCTCTCAGAGGATGCCAAGACTCCAGCTGTCAGAACTAGTGAGGTCACGTCAGCTGGAGTCCTTAGCTTTGCTTTTTAATGATTTGGCCCAAACCTAGGAAAGATAGAAAGCTTGTTTGGCATTAATCAACCAATTAACTTTATAAACAAAGAAGCCAACACTTGCCTTGGGAAAACTTTCTACTTATAGAAATTCCCATATGTGGGTATCATGAGATGTGAACAAGCCCCATGCTACCGTTGACTTGCACTGCTGGTTGCTGGGGACTGTAGACACAGAAGCCCATCCCCTGACCCCGTGCTACTTGTACCACAAGTGATGGTGCTTTTTATGGCTAATTCTAGGACACATTTTCATGTGAAAAAAAGGGAAAATATTGAATATTGACTATAGTTTCTGAAAAGAATTCTTTGTTATTTCTCCTTTGTTGCTAATTAGACATATATGTTCTGTGAAGTCTTTAGGAAAGCTGTCTTCTGGAAAGCGCTCTTGGCCTAAAGAAATGGTTTGGAAATACAGTGTGCCCTCTGAGCACTTGCCATAGAGTAGGGGGCGTTTAAAATGTTTCAGGCCAACACTGCAGAGTGCCTACACGGGGCCTACCTCTGCCAGGTGAGGGTCCATCGGCTCAGTAAGCCATGGCACATGTTTGATGCAGTTTGTACCCTCGTTGGCATGATAACAGTAACATTCACAATCCACTTATATTGTGATTCTGGTAGTGGCACCAGGGAGTTGGTGGACTTTTGAACAGAGGCATGGCATGTTAATGATGGTATTTAAGGAAAATTACTTGGGCAAGGGCAAGATCAGAGTGTTCACCTAGAGTACGTTCTTTATGTGCACAGTTCGCTCTCCCTGAAACACCAGTCCCTCCAACAGTCTGTCCCATGAACTTCCTCCCCGAGCTCAGGCCCAGCTCCTGGGCACACACTCCACTGAGCCAGAAGCCTGTCCTGTGTTTGTGACTGTGACCTCCTACTGCAATGGCAGTGGCTTCTCATCTCCACATCCCAGCACGTCCCCCACACTTCTCAGGGGTTAGGTATCCAGGGAGTACTAGTATTTGCCCAGCACTCACTGGTCCAGAGAGGGGAGGGAATGCAGACTTCCACCAGAAACTGGAGTGTCAGGTTGCTACCTGCTGCTGCTCAGAGTGTGGGTAATGGGCAGCAGCAGCAGCAGCAGCACCCGAGAGCTTCTTAGACACGCAGGTCGTCACCCCAGAATGACTGAGTCAGAACGTGCATTTTAACAAGATCCCCAGGTGGTATAGACACTTTAAATTTGAGTTTAAAAAGCTCCATGTCTCATTAAGATTGTCCCTTTCCGCAGGGCAGGGATGCGGCTGTGAAATCTTGAGTCCGCTCCTCTGGGCTGTGTCAAGCACAGTGAGTGCATGGCCAGTGCTGGCGTGAGTCCCCACGCTGGTCGCCCTAAAGCAGCACCAGTGGGGGCAGCTGGAAGGGCTCTCCTCCCCTGGGGCTTTGATCTAACCATCACCAGAAGAGCAGCCGCAGAGGAGTTACAGTTAGACTTGAGGTCCCAGGCACAGAGAGACAGCAGCAGCAGGTGGTGTTTTTGCCTCTCACCTTGTGTGTGTGGCACAGGACAGGACAGCTTCCGTGAACACGGCCACAGGGCTCTGCTCATCTGGCTGCATGGGGCCCTGATGATGCAGGCCGTGCTGGTCAGGCACCTGTACCAAGACCTGGTCCACACAGGTTTCCAAGAACTAGCTGGTGAGTGACAGTTTTCAATAGACACACACTCCTGGTCCCTTGTTAGGGGACCATTGGCAGAGACACTGCCCTGAACAGCAACGGTCCCAGCTTGGGATTCACTGGGCTTCAGTCAGCATGGGCAGCTTCTTTGGTGAGTGACTCAATGAGTACTTGTTCTGTTTTTTTCAGTCCTCAGTGTTAAGTGGGCATTTGAAAAAGTACAGGCGTATTTTTATGTGTGTGTGGGGTGGCGCGGGGAGGACAGGGAGAATCGGGGAGGTGACGGGGACAGGAACGCTGAACTAGGTCATAAGGATAGTTCTCCACAACCAAGAATTGTCTCGCTCCAGAGGCTACTTGGCCCCTGTTGGGATACGGCAAGTTAGTGCATTTGAAAATGTCATCTCCAGGTTGAAAGAAAGAGCAGGCAGCCTGTTGCTTTGCCAGCTGAGGTTAGTGCTAAAAATTACTCTGCCGAAGATTGTCTTGTCAGGGAAGATGCTTTGAAAACTTATCAATAAATTAGGTGGTGTTATAACTTACATGTAATCATAACCATTCGTGCAAAATATAGCAACATCTGCCATTTTTTTTCATGCTGTGGCTTTACCTGAAGCTGAGACCATACTTCCACAAATCAGACACCTGATCCAATATTGAGTTTCAAGTATAAGGAATAGTGCCTGGACAATGCCTACTTTCCATGACATTGTCCTCATAGCACTGGGGAAGTGTATCCATAAGAACTCCCGGGGAGTGCCTAGAGGCACGTTCTGAAGGGATGCAGGGCATGGGCTCTGAACTTCATGTCTGCACGCCAACGCTAACAAGCTGTGTGACCTTGAGATGTTCTGTAACCTCGCTGTGCCAATGTTCTCGTTTATTAACTAGGAAAAAAGGCATCTGGCGAAGGGCTGTTGTGGGATTAAGTGTGTAATAGTGCCTGGCACATAGTAAGTGCTTAATAAATGTTAGCCATTAATAATAAATGTCATGCTATTTTTTTCCAGAAAAGATCCGTCAATTCAAAAGTGAAACTAACTCAAAGCCCAAGAAATATACAGTTTCATAAATGCCTAGAGAAATTGTATTTAAATGATTTCCCACTCAGCATCCAGTCCTTTGCCGTTCAGCTCTTGAATGCCATGAAGTCCCTCTAGCAGGATTGATTTTCAGCTATGAGGATAGTGGAAATAGATCCCTAGCAGATGAAAAAGTGGCATTCTACTTCCCAACCACTGAACTGAAAAGTCAAAAAACACTTCTGGCTTTTGCTTAAGGCAAGTTGTATATGATTTTCCCATTTCTGTCATTTGATGTAACATATATGATGGCATAATATAGGAGGATTTTGTACCTCATGTTTTAGAAAAATATCATGGTGAGAGCAGCATCATGGCATACAGGAAAACCGGGAATTTTAAGATACACATGGTTTTGAGTTGTGATTTTGCCATTTTTAAATTATGAAACTTTGGGCATTCTAATATTCAAATTTCCAAATCTCCAATTTCCTCCTTTATAAAAAATGGGAGAAATCCCTGCCATAGCAGTTTGGTGAGGAAGGGAGAATGCCTGTAGGCTCATGTCCATAGTATTGACCTCATTAACTGTTATTTCTCGTGAGTGAAACTGGCTTTGGAAATTACGGTCACTGTTGGCTTTAAGTAACACATATGTGTAGTGTGTATGGAAAGGCCAGAAGTATACCAATATTTTTTATCTCTTGGTGACTTAATTATAGGTGACTTTATTTTCTTTGTACTTCTTGGTATTTTCCAATTTTTTCCACAATGAACATGTATAATTTTTGTAATCTGAGAAAGTTATTAAACATGAAATCAAGTACCAATTTATGGCAGCTTATATGCACCTATTCATTATAATTTAAGTCTCTCCATTCTCAAATTCTGATTCTAGGTCTCTAAGGCCAGAAATAATATCATGAGCAATTTCAATCCAGTTATTCTACCATGAATTTATAGTTCTACATCGTTGGCCCACTTAATGTTATGTTTAGGACAGTGGACATGCTCACATGATTCCCAAGTTTTAACAAAGGTGTTCAGTGAAACGTCTTGTCTCCATTGTTCTTCAGTCTGGCCAGTTTCTACTGATTTTGCTACTCCTCTTCCTGCCCCACCCCACCCCACCCAAGCCTGGGTAACCTCTTCATAGAAAAGTAAGTATGAATGCATGCTCTTATTGCATGAAGTGTTTTAATTGTGGAATTTATGTTAACTTAGGCTAACACTAATTACTTGATGCTTTATACCATATAGTTTCCAGAACTTAAAAAAGATTTATAATATTCTTAATTACAGTATTCATAATATTGACGTAAGTTTGTCAACATGGTTATGGCTTGCACACTGAAAACTGCTCCTAATTGTAATTGAGGTTCTTAAAAAAGCGGAGCCTGAAGCCAGTTTACGTGCCACTGCTTCTTTCAGGAATGCGAACTCAGGGGAGCAGGAGTGAAGGAAAAGGGGTGATATGGCGACGGAGGGAGAGCCTAGACCAGGATGAATTACCATATTGGCCATCACCTGGTACCAAGCACAACTTATTTGACCTCAAGGATACTCTTTTCAAAGAGATGAGAGATGGGATGGCTATGCATATCGGGGAGAAAGGAAGACTTGATCTGTTTACCACAATGGGTGCTAATTCAGGGCTGCATGAGTGGACTGCAAATGGAGCCTGCCTGTCCCTCATGACTGGACTGGGAGGGGAGGAAGCCCTCAGGGAGAGGAAGGGGGCAAGGAGATTGCCCTCTGTACAGGCAGCAGATGAGGTGCTGCTGGTTTGTGTTTGTTGTAACCCATGAGCTGTTTGCTACAGTAGTAGCTGGACCAGAACCCAGAACAAGTTTGGCATAAGAAGGATCTAATTAATACTCTTTAAGACATGGCCAGATACTTCTAATAATTCAGAAAAGCCCTGATTTGCCCCTTTAGAAAATGGGATATCTGATGTCCTGTTAACAATGTAAGGACGTAAGAAAAACTGTTTCCTGCAATACAATTAGAGCATAGAACTAGGTCATGTACAAAATGGAAGAGGCTTCAGATTATTAAATCTATCCACTCCTGTTAACAATACGGAAATTGAGGCCCTAGACAGATACTTCAGAATCTACTCATGTTTTATGCACCCATAAGTACTTTAACCCAGGCAGCCAGCAACGAATCATTAGAAGCCTGGTTCTGTACTGCTTGGTCAGTTTTGCCCAGATGGTTTCTTCTTATTGGCCAGCATTGAAGTCTCTACGCAGGCTTGGCAGATTTGCCGAGTTGCCCAGGGCAACACCACTCCAGGACACTGGATGTTTAGAGAGAACAATATGGATTCCAAACTGAGGTTTCCAAAGAGGCAATGAAGAATATCAGAAATAGGATCATTCTAATAGAAAATTTTCTTTTGATGTTTCTGTAACTGTGTTTTTGTGCTGGTAAATTTTTTTCCTTTTAACATCAAAAATTATTCATAGGTGTTGCCATTTCCCCCTGTTTTTAATTGCTGGACTACTAGAAAATGAAGATAAATACCCTACAGTCACAAAAAACTGTGATATAAATATCACTACTCTTGGTCTTTATCTTTTTCACTTAAAAATAAAAATACCTTAGTTTCAATTAGTTTTAATAATTTTTAAAATAAACTTCTCTTAAAGTTTACTTAGTAACCTTGGAAATGATTCAGCTTTGTGGAATAATGTCGAGAAAACAGGATTTATATACTTTGATGATATAATCAGCCACAGGCTGAGCCTATTAAAAAATATAGTCCAGTTTTTTAATTTAAAAAAGTTTTACTTCATTGCTTAAATTAAAAAAATAACATTAAAATAATCCTACATATTATTTTACAAAGGATGGTGTGGCTTGAAAAAGTCTCTTATAATTCTGAAAAGATGAACATGATGTATCCATGATGTTCATGCAATATGGAAAAATTTGAAACTAAAGACTTCTAATCCTTGGTAAAACCAGAGCACTTAAAAGATCTTAATATGAACGTATTCATTTCAGTCAACCACTTTGATGGAATGAACGCTTGTGAGAGACTGGGTGTGAGTCGATCTGGTTCCGAGAGATCTGGAAGCTGAGGTAGTACTTTCAGGATGAATAGTCCGGGGGTATTTTGCTGCAGCAGCTTGAGGAATGGTTTGCTGAAAAGATAAAAATCTTTTTTAATAATCCTATAAAATTACACATATTAAATGTCATTTTATCATTTATAATTTAACCCAACATTTGTTAAGTGTCAAGCAATGAATTGAAGTAGTGGTTACAAGTAGTGATCCTTTTCCATAAGAAACCCACAGCCAATTAGACTGATGTGCTCAATACCCGTAATTTATGTGAGAAGAGCACAGAGAGAGCCATGGGAGCATTCATTTCTCAAGGAGGACTTAACTGGCTGGAATCTTATGCTTACAGAGGCGAAGTGCATAAAGGGACTTTGTGGTGTCTGGAAGAAGGGTCCTACCCCCCAAGCCCTCCACTGGGATATGTGGAGTCCAGTCCTGGGAACATGTAAGGAATCCAGTCTGGTCCTTGCTTCAAACCAGCATAAAGCAGGCCTGTCATATTTCACCTGGGAACTGACTAAACCTTTTATGGTGACACATGAGGAGGACTTCTCAGAGGCCTGGTGCTCCCTTCACATGGACCACAACTTTCTAAATAAAGAAATAAGTAGAGACTAGGGACACATGTTGAGGGGAGGACTTGCACACTGCCTCCGAGCTCAGAGGAACATCTGAGACATGAGCACTGATGCATTAAAGTCAGGACACATCTGCCTTCATCTATACATGCAGATGTTCAAGTTCGTATTATGTACATAAGTTCACATTACATGTATACATCTGTGTAATATGTACACATGTAAGGCTTTCCTGTATTATACCCAATACAGCTTCTCAGTAGGCCACAGAGGGATGTGTCATGCAGATGAGTTCTCAGTTCATGTCACTGACTAGCACATGTAGGTTCTGATTAGGGTCTCCACTTAGAAAAGCCATCTCTAAAATACTTGAAGTAAAATTATATATATTTGATCAAAACATTCACTATGCATTTCAAAAGCTCTATGATACAGATATGCATGTCTTCATTTTAGATTCTGTTTTAAGAATAAGAGCTCCTCTTTAAGGAAATGGAAAAATAATCTTAAATATTTTGATACTATATATTTCTTTGTATATAAATTAACTGGGTAATCATAACAAATGGGAGATATTCTTGCCACTACTATGAAATTTTAGTTGCTAACCACCTAATCTGACCCTGTTGAAAGAGGTATTTTTCTTTGGGGCGGAGGGTTGGCAAGAGGAACTGTAGAAATAGATTCACATTACCATGGGTATCATGATCTACAAAATCCAGTAGAGAATGAAGTAGCACCAGAAGCAAGCAATTAACCAGCAGATGGCGCTAAAGTGTCAGAGACCTGATTACTGGTTTATTAGTAATAACTTTCTGATAATTCTGGATCTTGATTCTTGGGAAAAATGAAAAATTGTAGAGAGGCTCGCCATCATGTCTGTCACATATCCAAGTCAGGTAACAATGGGAGCAGTTGTGGCTTTCTAATTCATGGTCAATTATTGGAGAAGCACTGCACGTGCAAAGGGCAGCTTGTGAGATAAACTCAGAAACACGTTAAAAGTCTTTAGTTCCTTATTTTTCTGTAAAATATGAATTTCTATTGTTAATCTAAAAACAAAGGCTATCTAAATTAAAAATAAACATGTGTAGTCTCTTTAAAGCCTTCAACTTTTTAAAAAAAATTATTTTGTTTTTTATTGCTGTTATTTTTCTCCATTGATTTTTAGAGAGAGTGGAAGGGAAGGGGAGAGACAGAGAGAAACATCGATGTGAGAGAGATACATTGATTGGTTGCCTCCTGTACATGCCCTTGACCTGGAATCGAACCTGAGACCTTTCAGGCCTTGGGCCAATGCTCTAACCACTGAGCCCACTGGTCAAGGTGAGAGAATTCTCTTTGAAAATCAATCCTGTTTCTCTTTGGGAATATGATCTTGTTACTTTTAAAAATTAAACTTTTTGAGGTAATTCTTGAGTACAAGAAATAACGAAAAGGTATTCCTGTATCCTTTTAAAAAATATATATTTTTATTGATTTCAGAAAGGGAGAGGAAGAGAGAGATTGAAACATCAATGATGAGAGAGAATCATCGATTGGCTGCCTCCTGCACGCCCCCTACGGGGGATTGAGCCTGCAACCCGGGCATGTGCCCTTGACTGGAATCAAACCTGGGACCCTTCAGTCCACAGGCTAAGGCTCTATCCATTGAGCCAAACCAGATAGTGCTCCTGTATCCTTTTCTAGCAATTTTTATTTGCTTTTGATTTTACAGTTTACAAAGTGCCTTTCTATAACATTATCTCATTTAATCCTGAATTCTGACAATAAACCGTAAGAGCTAAGTACTCTTTGACTCACATTTTACACAAGAGAAAAAGAAGGCTCAACTATTTTCCTTGTTTTGTATATGATTGCAAAGGCAATAAGTAGCATAATTGGGGCACTAACTTGTTTTGTTGGGTTTTTTTGGCTTAAATTCCATGGAGGTACCAACTTTTTCCAAACTAAAAATATGATGACAATTGTATTGAAAAAGGGGAAGAAGAATTTAAAATAAGGAGCAAAAATTTAAAAAATTTTAAAAGTAGGGAAGTACTTCTTGTAATAAAAACCTGCTACATGAATAGCTAGTTAATAAACTAACAGTTTTTGCCTCTTTATAAAATGAATGAGAAATCATTTCTATATTTTATCCTCTGGCCGACACATTGTGTTGCTTTTTGTATTTGATCATTTTTACACTGTTGAGAAGAAATAATGTTTCTGAAATTAATTTCTTAAAAGAGGAAAGGCAGATTCAGACAGGTGTGTAATAAGCATAGAAAGACAAAATAGTAAAAGGCAGAATAAGAACTAGTCATCATGAATGTTGATCTTCTCAGCATGTCATTTAAGTGTTTATTGGTCTATAAATTTCAGGACATAGATTTTGACAAAAGGTTCAAAATGTGCACTCACCACTGTGACTGGATGATGTTTTTCCACAACAACTGAACTCATGGGAGGAGAAACTCCCATTATAGCTAAACTGCTACTAATTCTGTTTTTTGAAGCAAAATCAGATCTCCCCGTGATCCGGGCTGTAATTGTTCTTCCAGCTTTCTGTTGTGCAGATGTCACAACTCTGGGTACATACTAAAAAAGCAAAGAAATATTTAGTTGGTAGAAAATCCATGGAAAAATTATAGTACTTTTGGTTCTATAACTTATGAGGAAAATACGTAGGTACTTAAAATAATTGTATATTCAATCAACTTTAACATGAAAAAAAAAAAACTTAAAACATGGAAAAAAATAAAAACTTCAAACAATGAGACAAAAATCACAACATAAAACTGAGCACCGCAGAGCATCCCTTTAACTTTGGTATGCCAACTATTTTATAGGACTTCACCAACTTTTAAAAAAACTGTTTTTTAGAAATACTTATAATTTTATAGGAAGTTATAAAGACAATGTTGAGAGAGCCTGTGTATTCTGCACCCAGTTTCTGGAAATGATTACATTTTACATAATTATGACATCAAAACCAGGAGGCTGACATTGGTATAATGCCTGGGTATAGATCTATATCACTTTACTAGTGACCCGGTGCACGAATTCGTGCACATTGAAAGGAAATTAATCAAAACATTTTAGTATTGTTATTTGCCCTTTCTCTACAATAAAAGTGTAAGCCAAATTCACGATCGACAATCACAGATCAAAACACATGCGTGCAATTGGTGCCAGCGAGAGCTTTATATGTACTGTGCATGCATGAGTCAACTTAGCCTTTTCTATATATAGATGAACTTAATTAGACCTGCTTTTTGATTTAGCTAAACTTTTTCCAGCCCAGTGAAGCACCCCAGTTTCTCTTTCAGGTAATTGTCAGCACACAGCAGTAAATATCAACACGAAGCAGATTATTATTGTATATGTGCTGCCGAAGCGAGCACCAGATTATTATTGTAGATCATGCAGGGAGAACAAAGGGTAAAATATTTAACTATAGCAGTGTTTGACTATATTCTGTGCAGTGAGAAAACCTGAAGTCATTTTGAAGGTCCAACATTTCTTACTTCTTTTCAGTCTGGTCAAGTTTCTAAGCTTTCTAAATCTCCATTTTCTGGCTAATGAAAAGAAAATAGGATTCCACCTAGTCTCACCTACTCCAGGACTTCTGTTAGGATCAAATGAAATGAGGCAGGGAAAACCTTCACAGACATTTGGTTAAAGTGTGAAGGGTGTTGCTCTGGTGTGGTGGTGGGGCCTTTGTCCCACTTGGGGGAAGCCAAGTGTTGGTTTGTCGGTACCAGATCTGTGGTGCTGTTTATTTTTAAATGGCCAGTGCATGTTGTGGCAGCTCCTGTGTTGAGTGTCTGCCCCCTGGTGGTCAGTGCGCATCATAGCTACTGGTCGGATGGTCAGATGGACACTTGGGCTTTTATATCTATAGATTACATGTGTAGATTTGGCAATGAAGGCACAGAACTATTCCATCACCATAAAGATGTCCCTCATGCTACCCTTTAGTCATATCCATTTCCCTTCCCCCACTACTCCTAATCCCTGGCCATTCATTTGTTTTATGAACTCTTTTGATTCTTATGCATAATTAATATCATTATTATAAATACTTCTGTGTCCTGCATTTTTTCTTATTGATTTGTTAATATACTTTTTCCCCATGAATAGAGAATTGCTACAATTTTGAGAGATTTTAATACCAACAAACTAGTTTATCTAATTATCTCAGTCCTTTTACTAGTATATATAGCAAATTTTTGTGGAAATGGACTCCTTTTCTTTTAAGAGTTATTTCTACAGAATATATTGTAAAAAAATGCAATGATCAGATTCTAAAGTAATGGTAGCTTTTATAGATTTTGTTGCTTACTGCTGGACAAAAGGCATGTAGAAAAAGTTATATTTATATCAGGGGTAATACGTATGTGTACTCATTTCTCCCCACTGTCAACTAATTACACTAGCTGGGCAAAAACAAAAGGAATAATAAAAGAAAGA